CCCCCCAAAAAAAAAAAAAAAAAAAAAAAAATACTTATCATATCTGTCATCTTCTGTGAAGTCATGTCTCAAAAAAGATAAGGATATCATCAAAGAATCATAAGTTTAGTTGGTTACCTACATAACTTAGCAGGTTCCTTTTGTGAAAAAATACATATTAGTAGAATCCACATAACTAACTGGCTTATAATAAGTTACAAGAGCAAGTGTATTTTTAATTATCCTGTTTAAGACAAGTTCAAATGTACTTATATGCTAATAATCAGTTTATCTTTTGTTTTATATAAATAAAATCTACGTCTAGCCATCTGGGTGCCTACTTGTTTTGTTTGTAATGTAGTTATGCAATCAATTGGAAGCTATTGACACATAGACAACCAATAATATTGGTATAGAGCGCCTTATCAAAAAGAAAAAAGAAAAAAGAAAAGAGAAAAATAAAGAGAAGTTAACCAAAAAGGGTATGGAGATTAACAATAACACTCTGATTTTGGTGAATTTGCACATTAATTTTTCAATTTCTGAAAATTAAATTTGTACTATATATTTAAAAATTATATAAAATACTTTAAGTTATGATCTTCTATAACTAAAAAAGTTCTAAAAGTATCTGAGACAATCGTGCTCTAGAAAAAATTATTTAATTCTCCAAATAGGAATTACATCACATAAAATAGGATTTCGGGAGTAGTAATTCTTTTCAAATCTCAAGTTCCACAATTTCTATCATTTCTATTATCTTTTCCTCTGATATACCTACCTAATCAAGAATATAAAAATCTGTCTGATTTTAAAGGAAAGAAGACACAAAACCTTCATCTGTTTCATTTTCTCCACTCTGTCTTTAAAATATGTATCTATCAAGCCATTAGGAAACAATCTAATACTAGAAATAAAATACAATTCTTGGAAATGTAGACGGATATCACCAAAATGTGGTTCTTTTGAATTCAAAGAACTAAAATGTGTGGAAAAAAAACTTGGTGACAATTTTATATATAATGCCCTTTTAAAGGGCGCTATACCTTAACGGCCGTTTGCCCAGTTAAGTATAGCGCCCTTTTAAAAGGCTCTCTCTCTCTCTATATATATAAAGCCTTTCCTTACCGCGCTATACATATTATGTGGGTCCACCAATAATTCTTATGGGCTTAACTGACATAATAATAATTCAACTGGGTATAACACCCTTATTTAAAGCGCTATACCTAAAAAAAATTGTACCCTCGGATTGGTTTTTGCCTTATTTAAAGAGGTTAAGAATTTTTTAAAAATTCATTCACAAATATTTTCAAGTCTTCTGAAATATTTCTTCAATAAGTTGTTTTGCATTTTGTCATAATGTCTGAAAAGCGAGGGGGGGAGGGGGGAGTGAGGTTGTGGTAGCGAATAACTCAGTAACCTATAGTTTATCTCCACAACGTCATGTTAAGTTGCCACTTACAATGGAGTACGATACATTGGTGTCGTTGTTATGTAAAAAAAAATGAGTGTGAGCAAACGTTCGGTGAACCTTAAAGTAACCGGAAGATATCCGTATTTTGTAACTCCGCAAGGGGTTTCATGTTATGCTGAGTTTAACATCGAAGGCGATGAAACTCTGAGAGATTTTTTGAGGACTCCGGATGAATACCGGAAATTTCTTGTGATAAAAATGTTGGAAATGTACGTCATGGTTGAAGACGTTCGCAATAATGAGGTTGCGCAAATGAGGGATATCCCCCAATCATCGGGTGGTTATTTTGGAGCAGTTTTAGCCGAACAGATTCCGGCTGAAAGAGTTTGGCCTGATCTAAACTTATCTCCACGGGCGAATGAGGAGCGAGGAAATAATTTCTCTCCTAGTTTACATAATCCACAAGACAAGTGGTAAATTTCAATTTTCCTTTATGTTACGATGTTTATTTTTGCTGTATTGAATTTGTATTAGTACTCATATATTCTACAGAGGGTACCAGCCAAATATGAATTTTACAAGTTATGAACCAACGCCCAGTTGGAATATGCCTAGTTCTGTTGTGTTGGATCATTGTGGTCCATCCGGGAGTCATCAACAACAGGATAATGTCCATCATGGGATGTCAACACATTACGATTTGTAAGTGAAGTAATATAGCTATATGTAAAGTATTTATCAATTTGAGTAACTCATTATTTTGTTGGTTGTGCAGTGAAAACGAGCATCCTGAAGGTCATGTCCTTACTCAATTGCCTGAAGACGACATATTTAATCAGGATCTGGCAGATGCACAGAGTCAGAAAAAGANGTGGATGCCCTCACAAGGGATATTGACGAAATTCGGACAACAATGTGGGATGAATATAGAGCAAAGGTGGTGTCAAAGGGCATGCTTTTTCCCGATAAAGCGCGCCTAACTAGGGCGGTGCTAATGTACAACGTAAAAGAGTGTCGTGAGATCATGATACGCGAGTCATCTCCAGATGTATACAAGATAGTCTGTCGTAGATGATTTACGGGTTGTAATTGGATGATGTGTGCGAGGAAGAAGAAAATAAATATGTGGGTTATGGGTAAATACATTGGCACCCATAATTATGAAATGGACACATTTAGTGGGAATCATTTTAACTTGAATGTTGACTTGATTTCTCTTGTCTTGATTCCACACATCAAAGCGTCCATAAGGTACAAGATCAAAGAGTATATAACATCCGTCCACCAGGAATATGGGTGCACCATTACCAAAAGAAAGGCATTTTTCGGGTGCAAACGTGCGTTTGAAATTGTTTATGATAACTGGGATAAGTCCTTTGCATCTCTACCCAGTTACATGGCTGCATTGCAATACTTTAACCCCGGGACTGTTGTTGAATGAAAGTTTGAGCGGAGTTCGGAACTACCAGAATATATATTCAAATATGTGTTCTGGCATTTAAACCAGCAATTGAGGGTTTTCTGCATTGCCGGCCGGTAATATCCATAAACGACACTTATGTCTATAGAAAGTATGATATTAAGTTGTTGATCGCCGTTGTAGTAGATGCTAATAGAAATATATTTCCCTTAGCTTTTGATATTTGTGCCAATGAAAGCCAAGAGACGTGGACACTATTTTTGAACCTCTTGAAAGAGCACGTTATCAAACAGCGCTCAGGTATTTATCTAATATCTGATCGGCATGGTGGTATTTTAAGTTCTGTACAGCAGGAACCGTATGCCTACCACCGTTACTGTGTGAGGCACCTGAAGGCCAATTTTCATAAGGCATATCCCAACAAGGATTTGCATGATTTAATGTGGATGGCTGCAACAGATCACCAAGAGTGTAAATTCAGGAGGTGCATCGAATCTATCAGGCAGGAAGACGAGGGAGTCTATCGTTGGTTGATGCGACATGAGCTTTACAAGTGGACTTTGCATGCGGATGGTGGCAGAAGATGGGGAATTCTGACTACAAATATGTTAGAGTCTTTCAACGGGTTATTGAAGTCTACACGTGGATTGCTTGTCACTGCCATGGTGCAGATGCCATTCAAGCATATGGCAGAGAGGTTTGTTGAAAGGGTTAGATGTGCATCGTCATTGATGGAAAGAGGTATTAAACTTATGCCAATACCAATAAAAAGATTTGAGAAATACAGGCGGCGAGCA